ATTAGTCGTGTCTCTTCTATTCCTGTGAGTGAATTATCCGTAAAGCTTTCAGAATATCACGTAACTTCTCGTGTGAAATTCGCTGAGAGGATTATCACAGATCCTGACCACCCATTATATGCAGAACTGAAACTTTGTCGTTCCCATCATTCAACACGCTCCCAATTCCACCAAATTTCATCTCGGATTAACGCATACCTCAATTCACCCATACCGCATCTTGTTCGTCTACTCATAAACAAAGAGCGGACAATAAGTGAACTTTGTCTTAACCTTGGATTATGAAATATCCCCATGCCTGTAAAAACGTTTCTTTCCGTTGATTATGTACATTGTGACGGTTAGCGTGTATACTTTTTAACTAAAGTGTGAGCTCCAGTGCTTGCAAAAGTTGTACACAATTCAATAAAATGCATTTGAAACAAAACAATTCAAGACAGTCATAGCCTTGGTGGAATCTGTCACACTAACTTTTTCAAGACCTAGGTTGTGACAATCGATCAAAAGGTTCATGGTCACGTGCACACCTGACCATGGTAGATAGTTTATCAAGTCATCGTATCGTGGGTCAGATTCCCTACCCGAGTGAGTGATGTCAGTTGCCGTGGTGTTGGTTTATTTTCGTCTACAGCGAAATCGGTCAACGATCGAAGGCAAAAAGATCCCAGCTTTTGTGCACACAAACACACACTCTATCTCCTTTGCAGTTTCCTTCACACAGTCAACTATGTGGCGTTCTCGTTGTTAAGACCTTTGTCAAAATACCTCTACTGGTAAGGGCCTGTCTATTATACTTGTTGCCGGGTTACCAAGCCCAAGGTAACAGTCTGATTATACCAAGCCTAATCCATTTACTACAATGGTACACTTCGTGCTTCAATCAACCAGGCCAATCCATTTGACAGTTTAGTTAAACTATCAACCAGGTAACCTGTGTTTAGCCGTGGGTGGTCCTGCTAGAGAAGGATATAACATAAGATTTCAGAAAAACAAAACGTTTGTCAGTTTATAAGTGTTTATGCGCGTGTGCTTATGGGCACTACAGCAATACTCGACTTACATGTGGTCTGATGTGCACTCCGACCCCGACTCTAAGGGAACCAGCTTGCGTTGTTCTGTAACATTCACCCCCATCTAATGCTGATTGACTGGCTTAACCACGTTCACTGGGCTGTCCCCAGATCATCTACTTGATATGTACGTTGCAGTCAATGCACAGATGCACACTCTGTGTGCGTATGTGCTTGTGAACCAGGTTTTGGTTCAAGCTCTCCCTTTAATGTATATATATATATATATATATATATATATACCAGTACACATCAACATCAATAATAATAAAACAGGAGCTTTAATCTTATACGGCCACGGTCGCTAATACAGCGGTGGAAACTTCAATGGTTTGGTGGCAAACTTCGTAAATCGGAGAGCAATCTGACCAAAGGTGCCTTGGCACCGTCTCCCTGCTCAAATTGATGCTATCCACTTCGTGGATAGCTGAAAACCCAAATAGATATGGTACGCAAGAGTGCATAAAACCTTGGTCTCCGCTCCGTCTACGGCTATCGCCAATAGAAGTCAAGTTGGGTCACTATCTTGCCACCGGGTAGCTGCAACCCCGGATATCCACGAAGCCGGTTTATCCTCGCCCATGAATCAGCCACCGTAGACACCAACGTCAATAATATGGAATACAAACCAACACACGAACATAAAGCTCCAACTGTAGCGTTGAACTGAACAAATAAAGAAAAACAACGCGGCCAAAGAAAGAAATAAACTAGTGTTGAAAGCTTACCTTGGAAGTATATCCAGGTTAGCTGCAAAACACGAGATCTCTTGAATAAATTCCCGCCGGCATGTTTCATAAAACTGTATTCCGTTCGATTGTGATACGTGTCAGAAATCGAACCCAAGCACAGAAGCTAACCATGCTTCGATGCAGTGTAAGTAATCACCATATTTATGGGCTTCTGCATCACCTTGGAACAGTGAAAAACAATAAAGGCCTTTCGCCACCTTTGCTGGTGAAGTAAAACCCGCTGACTACTGTCAAATACGTGAGGGAATTAACTAATATGAAGGATACAGTACACGCATTAGAGCATGCGGACCTCCAAATAAATGACAACTAGAAAGCCACTGCTGTCCGTTAGTTGCCATGTCCTTTTGTGACTCAATCAGCCAATTTCGGTCTTAGACCCCGACCTAAGAAACAAGAAACAACTCGAACTGATCTCTCGATGCAGCTCTCTGTGCCTCATCTCAACGTCATAGGCGAACGAGATTTGCGAAATTCCGGATTAGTAAATGCAAACAGGACACAGTGCTGTTAATAACTGCTCGGTGTGAAAAAAACATCCTAGTCAGTTAAGTATATTAATCTGAATTCGGTGTGATAACGAATTTTCCAGCGGAAAACACGACGGTCAATGAAGATGTTACCTATCCACTAGCTCCATCCTAATCGTGCCAAACTGCGTAAACATGGATGGACGAAAATGTCGGACAGATGAATGATTGCGAAGTGCAAAATCAAGGCCTAACAACTGTAACGTACAGCTGGTTGCATTGTGACAGTCTACGCAACCCTTCAGTTTTAAGGAAACGTCAAGTAGGAGCTAAAAATGACTCAGTAGAGAGTACGCTGCTCCAGCATTACATATATACGAGATGACGTCTTTATTGTGAGGCTGTTATTGAACTACTTAGATAGGAGGACAAATGGACTATACTGTAAGGTCTACTGAGGCTCCTGGTCTCTCTATCAATGAATTATATCAATTATTTGATTGTACAAATGCATGCATTCTGCGTTTATATTAAATACGAACTGATTTCAGCATATTCACAGCAACGAAATCAACCAATAATTTTTTTGAGCGGAGCACTGGTCGTATGTTTGGGTTCAGACAGATAAGAAGAGATTTGAAACAAAATATTGAAAGTACGGCACGGGAATACGCTGTTTTAGTTGTTGACCCAAGAAAAACTTCTACTTATCTTTGGACTAATGGTCGTTACGAGAATGGTATTGATATTGGCTTCTGGTTTACAGGTCCAAAACATTTACCTTGGTCTTCGGAACACATAGCGGGCCAAGTGATCAACGGTATGCCACACTGCAGACAAACGGTCGTTCCAGACTCCTCCGTGTATAATGCGTTAAACGCCTCCTGTATTGAAACTTCGCAACCAGGATTTGCTCCAGCTAAATGTATCTGAAAGTGCCTTGAGCGTTCCGATGAGAAAGGACCGATTGGAGGTAGACCGTAACAGGCTACACGCGAACAGCCGGTTGGAAGAGAAAGCATCTCAACCCAAGCTTGTGCATGCAATCCCCGAGGTCCCATCACAGACGGAACACGGAGGGATGAGGCATTTGTGGCAAGTACGGGGCGTAAGTCAGCGTGAGGTAAAACTAGGCGCTTTAAATTCAATAACTGATCCAAATCAGACAGGCGAAACTGAACGCAATCTGTCAGGATTTCACGCTGCTTTGAGGTTGAAGTGGACAATTCCAATTTGTTGCGCGTATACCCATCAGGGGTGCTCAGTATTGGAGCCTTGGTGGAAGAACAGTAAATAAAAAAGGAAGAATTGTCTAGTAACTTAATAACTGAATCAGTAAGTACTTTTGCTGGATCAGAGGCGAGGGAGGGGAGGCAACCAATTGATTAAATTCATCGTCTAATCGATTGCACACGGACTGGAAATAGCGTGTTACTTGGAAAGGATACTTCCGTGGGCGGATATCGTGTACCTCAACATCGCAAAATTCCCCTACATACCACATTGTTCATCATTACCCGGTGATAAAATAAGTATAATATTAGCCCATTATGATAATTTCAGCTGAACTTGTTTCGTGCTAAGTTATCGGATGATGCAAACCTCGATTGAATCATTCCGTCTTCTTGTTTCTTTGTCACCAAGAGAACAAACTGATTAGAGGAAGAAAACAAACGAAGGCTGAATAACCACGAAAACACAAGCCTCGTGACAAACAAATTGATCCGAACCTTGTTCACTTGGATCGGTCGTCCGGTTTAATATCGCTCTTAACCTACGTAGGCTCTATGCGGTTCACCACTCCCAGCCCCTGGGCTTAAGTCACCATTGGTCACGAATGAACAGTAGGCTCTCATGACAAAGAAACTTACTCCGTCCTACGCTAACCACACAATACTGCGTAGCAAAGAGAAAATTTTGACCGTTTCGACCGTATTTATCTTGGATAATCTGAAAACTAAAACGGCGAAGTTGCGCGAAAGTGCTGAGATATTCAGGGAGTGAGAGTTTGATAAAGGATTATCCCAATATTTTTCAGTGGGATAAAGATTTGGCGACCTAGCGAGTCACCACAGCCAGCGAACGCCGTGAGAAATTTCTTAGGACTGGATGTTTTCAAATGGGTAAGCTTGGGCGTTGTCCTAGAAGATACAGGATGGTCTCCGTTCTTGCAACGACTTCCATAGATTATTCGTTATCTTCAGGTACATTGAACCGAACTCACTTAGCATCAGATCACATAGGCCGCGTTATGCTTGTTGGACGGGGACCTCGGGATCATTTTAATCGACGGTTAAAGATACTGAGTGATATCGCGGTGTCACAAACAGTACCGTTCTTGCATTTACTCAACGTCCTCGCAACCTTAGTTTTTATGAATTCTTTATTTTTACCCTGACACTGACTTAAACATTTCACACTTCCTTTCACTCCTGCATCCAAATTGGTAGCCAAGAAACAACAGTCAGTATCAGCACATGAAAGTGTATGGGTAATGGTTGAAAGAAGTGAACTGAACTAAAGATCAAATATGTAACATATCCAGGGACAGAGAAGCTGATGAACCAAAGTCCTATGGCTTACTGAATACAACTAAAATTATCTTTTGGCTGAATGCATTAACCTGCCATATAAAAATAATGGTATTTACAGGCATTACTATCGACGATCAAAAACAACAAACGATTCATAGAAAAATGAATCATCTCATGGTACTTACATTTCCTCCGTCCGCACGACCGAGGTGAAAGGCACCAAGAACACCGGATAGTGCAGATTTGATAGAATCCAGGTCAGAATGAAAGTAGCGCGGATTTGAAAATATCAACAGAAGGGAACTGACGTTAAGCATTCGACATAAATTCTGACGACGTGCCGGCAACTGGAACGCTCTATTACTGTGCGTAGGATTGATGAGCGAAAAGGTAGAAGTGAAACGGGAACTGTTTCACTATTCAGTAGCGAATAGATGTTTATACAAAACTAGTTACGGATTCATGGCCAACGTTATTTGTGAAACAAAACGAGATTGGCGAAGTTTCGGTGGAGCAGCTACAAGATCGCGTTTTCGTTTGGATTGCAGGGGCTGACCACGATAAGCTGATTGGCGTGCACGTGGAATCTTTGAGAGAAAGGGTCTTCATCTACATACACACACCTTAAATGAAGGTGGGTTATTGACCGATAATTTATTTATACAGGAAAGCCAAGTTTCGACGATCCTTATGTATATGAACCGTGAAGTTTGTCGGGAACACCGAAACAAACAAGCAGACTAGAATGGGATGGATGAAATCATGTCTGTCGCCAGTGCAACTGTACACTATTCCAGTATATATATATATATATATATATATATATATATATATATATATATAT